TCGTTTGTACCGTTGCCTTGGACAATAACCCATGCCAAATTTCGTGAAAAAACAGTCCGATTCACTTGAATGGGTACATCTATTATTTTTAAGATACGAGCGTATATCTCTTCATTTAGACATCGCAGAAGCTCCGTCTAAGCTTGGTTTTAAAGACGGATAAATTTTGAACAAATTTGTGAAAACTAAAAATATACCCTTCGTAATTTTATATTATTTGCGGTGTTTTAATTAATACCTCAAAAAATGTGCTTTTTAAATAGGGGTCACTTGAAAAGGTACATATTATATTGCGGCATTGTGAAGGCAGGTCCACCTAGGCGAAATTAATAAAATTGTTATTTGTAGTATCTCAGAGATTTTTGGACCGATTTCAGCTCTTTTTAGTGAATATGGGACGAGCAAATGCACTTTTTGAAAAAGCTTGAAGCCTTTACGGATCAACCCCTTTTTGCGTGTGCTGTTGTTCCAAAATAGAAGTTCAAATGTCGTCTACCAGTTTTTACGGAATCTGACGAAATGACTGCATCTTCGTACAAACAAATACTCGAATCTGCATTTCCGCAATTTTACAATATTTTTGGACCATTCCCTGGACATACCAACAGAACAATGCTCCGATCCACACCACAAGGGTAGTAAAATTTGGATTTTTTTGTACAAACATTGTTGCAAACTTAATATAACCTGTTCAGGGTATAAAAACTGGTAAAAAAAAACTATTTGTTAGTAATTATTATTAAATCACTTACCATAAAAAGAGAAGTTATAAAATACCAGTGGCATTTATATCGATATATTAAAAAGTAAGCTCAATTTTACTTTATGATGTATGTGCAAAGCGTTTTAGAATAGAAGCTCGATATCGATAGAGGGTTTCGTAGCAATGAACGATAATCCAACATTTTTCCATTATTAGTTATTAAAGGGCTTACTTTGAACCCGTGACAATTATTTCTGAAAAAGAAGTAGAATATAAATAAGACTTTCAGATATGCACTACTGTGAAATCGGTTTTTCATTTGTATATACATATATGTTTTTTCAATGTAACATGTATGTACATGCAATATTTAATTTAGAAAAAACTAAGTGAAATAAAAAATTATCTACAACAAAGAATAACATTTAATCTGACAAAAATAAGCATTTTGATTCCAATCGAATCATTCAAAAAATATTTATAAGTTTAAAGTTTCTGTTTACATTTTAACATCTGAGGAGGAGCAAGTATGTATAATAAAGCCTTGCATAGTTTTTTAAATATGCTAAATACAAAATTAAATAAAAATATTTAAAAAAAAATTTAAACAAAACCAAAAAAAGTTGCAATGGTTTACAACTCGGATTTTTTATACCGGATTTTGAACTGGTTCAATTACACATATGCATTAATTTTTTGTTTTGAAAAATGACACTTACCTTTACTTATATATTATTGTTTTTCCGCTTCTTTAATTTTTGAAAAAGCCAGTAGCAAGAGGGATAGGTGGGTGTGGACGGGTGTAAATATTTACTTGTTACTTGTTGGCTTCTGGTTTTATATCATATTTATTAACGTACAATTTTTTGATATTGCGCTCATATAACAAAAAACAGGATATGAACAAGCGAAGATTATAACAGGGATATTTTTAACAAAAGATTATAACTACCATAGTATTATTAGGCACAAATTAGCAAACCGCACAAATACCTTCGTTAATTTAACACAATTTAGAATCTATGAAAACATTGGTTTGGAAAGTTTTAAGCGACTGCTGTTTGACAAATTGCAATATTCCAAACAGTGATGTCAACCATAATCAGCAATGTTTTGTAAAATAACACATTTCCAAATCCACCCTTGCTCTCCGTACATCAAAAAAAGTTATAAATAACATGCAGCGCACTTGGTTCCTTGGAAACATTATATGATCACTTAGTTAACAAACATAAAATTATAATTCATTCATGTAATTTTTCGCTAACAAGTTTGAAATTGTGTAATTTATTTATTGTGCACTCTCAAGTTTCATGGAATTTGCTTCAGCGGGGTCTGTTGTTCATTTGCTTTGGAGTTCCTTTCTGTTTTTCCCCACTATGTAAATTTTGGACGTTTCATTGATATGATATTGGACTGATTACTTCAAAGGGATCGGAATCTCTAAATTTATATTTAAATGAGAACTTTTTTGCTATTTTCACAAAATTGTCTGATATGCACCAACGCGATTTTTCGATTCTTGCACTCACTTTCTTTTCTCTTATTTACTTCTATCGTGATTTGTGAGGTTAAGACAATTCATTTTAGTTCATTCTGATGCAGTGTTGCAACTGTATTTAGTGTTACCATATGTACGACATCAACGAAAAGTTTACTAAACCTATGTTTTTCTTCTTTTTGTAACCCATTCAATTAAAAAACCCATTTCTTAAAAAAATATATATTTAAGCAACCAATTATTACTCAATACAAGAGGATTAATTTATCCTAGTAGTTGATAAAAAAGAATCAACACATAAATTGTTTACTTAAATATTGATATATAAATTTATGCTGTTGTACAGGAGAATGTGAAAAATCATACAAGGACACTATTTTATTTATTTAATAAATTAAAATTAAAAACTCTTTGGCACTCTTCCTAGATTTATGTTATAAATGGACGGAATGAGACGCAATACCTTGTTTATAATTAAAAAAAACAACATAGTTTTTTTGATCCAAATACAGAAGATTTCTACAATTCCCATTGAGCATACTATGAAATTATAAAATCCATATAATTTTCGATTTTAACACTATTTTTAAAAATATCGACTTAAAACTTTCGTCTAAAAGTAATGATTTTCAACAGTGTTACCAACTTAACGGATTACCTGTTAGTTTGGAGGGTCAGCGTGGTTGGCGACGGGAAAAGACTTTGTTTAAATTTTAGCGGAACAACAAAAAGTGTTATATGGTATATATACATATAATATATATTTTTATAGCTCAGTCGAAATATCATCGACTGCAGCAGTTTTATTACTCTTTAGCCGTGTAATTGTTTTTCGTATTTTCGATGTACATGCAGATTATCTATCTACAATATTTGTTCAAATTTGGATTTCAAGTCTTTTTTATCAACCAACGCATCAGTATTTTCTCATTTTCTTCTTATTCGTTTATTTCCGTTTTCATTAAAATATTAAATGAGTTGCCAAGTATTGAATAATGTTTTTACTCAGTAAGTATAATTCAATTACATAAGGTAATATCTTCATTAGTGTTTGATTTAGGCCCTATTTTTTAAACATTTAAACCAAAGCTTCCCGTCTATACTTCGGTACCCAATACCAAATTACAGTTTTATATATTAATTTGTGTCAATGATTTGATTCCGTGTTGATTAGTGTTGCATGTGAATGAAATCGCTTTAGACTATGGTAAACCGATTATCTGCTTTACTTTTTTTCCTCATGTACCCATTGTATTAAAAGTAGCCCTTCCTTCCTTATTGTTATAAGGTTTTGCTTAATGTTGCAGAAATTTGGCCCCGCTTTTTCCATACGAAAATGCTCCTTTTGTTGAATTAAAAAAACGGAACAGACAGTTGTTCTTGTTGTTGTAGCGTCAGAAAACATTCCCCAAATATTTGCGGTCCTTGGCCGAATAAAAATCGGTTAAAATAAATGTAACTAGTGATGACTACGAATGATTTTATAGAATTTTATAGTTACTACAGATACAGGTTAAACTACAGATTGCTATTACTTAAATTTATCAATACACAATGACTACTGTTTAAATTTCTCAACTTATCCGACCATGGCAATCGCGGGATCAAGACCAAAACTCATTTTTATGATATCGCAAAAAACCGATACAAAAATTATTCCATTCACAAGATAATTTAGTGTCTCTGCGACAGAGCGTTGATATTTACTTTTGTGTATCCCGATAACTGACAAAACAACCAGTAAAGTCCCAGCAATTATCTGTACCAAAAAAATAAAACAAAAACAAAATTTCATCAATATTCTCAAATGCATTTATTGATATATGTGTGTAATATAAATATACAAGTACATACGTATATATGTATCTCTATGCCTTAAATATCTTGTTATTTGCTTTGTCTATTTTGTGTAAAATATCGAACTACATTACTAAGTTATTATTTTATAAATACTATAATCAAATTAAAAAAAGTACCGTTTCAATCAATTAAAAACAAAAGAAACCTATAATTAGATCTCTATTAATTTTTCTGGCTTTAAATTCGTTCGAGTAAAAATAATGTTTTACATATGTGTGTACAATTTAAAAATTGTTTGCAATAGTTACATTGTACATGGTATTATGGGGCTCAATAATTTTGTGTTTTTTACTGGTATTAAAAAAAAAAAAATTATATAATAATGTCTTTAATTTTTATAGAAAGTATTTATTTATGTATACTACATATTAGACACTTGCTGCGGCGGCAAGAAACTTGCACAATTAGTTCCGATATGGGGACCGCCTAAAGATAGCAGGTTTTATTTTAAAATCTCATCCAGGTTACAATCATTTTATCAAGTAGTTTCACATTACAATGTTTGTCAATTTTATTGAAAGAAATGCAAAACTTAGCTGACTCAATACGGTTATTTGTATTTTATCTAAGATTGAAATACAACCAAGATAAAAATAATAACAAAACTTTTTTCAGAACCTCTATTTTGTATCCGTATATTTATTTATTGTTCAAATTAAACTTGATTCAAAGCAAAGTTTTCATATAGTTAAATTTCGTCCAACATTAAATTAAGTTTTACTTACACGTGCAGGGCTCTGTAACATAGTTTAGGGTACTTTATTAGCCTGCTGTTCTAAGAGTATGAGAGGTTGAGAAGAGTATTCGATGCCAAATCCCGATATTATAACATTTATTACAGATATGACAAATATAATAACGAGAATAATATCGTTTATGATCACAGCCGCCACTTGATCCTTTTGGCGATTGATATTTAGACTACCAATAACAACAAAAAGTATTCCAACCAAGAGCTGTGAAAAATATAATTTTAAACTTAATAATTCAAATTGTAGTCCGGCTTTAATATAATTTAGTTACTTCCGTATACATATTTCGTACATATACATTCAACATTAGGGTATGTAAAAAAAAACTAATGTTTTTTTGCTTCGTTTTCTGAATAATTGGTTGATAGACACCTTTAAGAAAGTATGAACTCTTAATTTTGACGGAAAGATCCTCCGCCTAACGGTTTTATATATTTTTTTTATAATCATATAAAAATATTCATATCTGAAAATAAGAAAAAATAGAAAATCGATTTTCCTATTATCAGATAGGAAAATTCATATTTGAAAGAGCTCAAACTTGGAGAGCCTCTTCTTAAAGGTATTAACCAAGTTTTTAGAGCGACGAAAAATCATTTTTGGTTTTTGACCCACCCTATTATAGCTAGATATGTTAAAATATATATACATATATACTAAATAACCGTAAAACCAGAGAATGTTGAAGAGTAGAGAAGGAGCAAATGTTAGCAGTACTAAAATGTTAATTGCTAAGAAGGAACATCGAAAACGCGCAAGGGTTTTTACCGGTAATACAGATTTTTAATTCAGAAGGCTTTTCATAATTATAAATTTGTCATATCATAGAAATTGAAAACATAAATCTAAATAGGTATGCGCAACGATTTTTCATATAGGAATATTCGTTGTGTCTATTTATAGCATTTCGCATATTGTGTGGTGTATTTTTCTTTTTCGAAGTTATATTTTTCGATGTTCCCTCATCTGGAACTACAAATTAGTACTCAAAAAGTTTTCAGTTAACATTTGCTCCTTCTCTATTCATTTACGTTCTCTGGTAAAACATAGGAAAAACTAGAGTATTGTCCGAAAAATATATTTCGAACTTTCGCATACTTTTAGGAGCTTATATCCTCGGATAATCGAAATGCAAAAATCATTATTTCTATTTCTAACCAGTAAAATACATAACTAATGTCAGGATTAATATTGATATATTCTTAATTTTGAATTAATTATTCAAACGATAATTATTTTATTGAACGAATCGCGTCACTTTGAGAAAAATTTAAATTGCAAATTAGAAAGTTAAGTCCAGTAGTTTAGCTTTTTATTTAAATTTAATATGCCAAGAGATGGGCAATGATGACGTCATTTCCATTATAATATAATAGCATAGTAAATATTTTCATTCAACTTTATGGTATTTAATCTGATGTTACAATTTATTAAATCTAACTTTTTTAAACTAAGAAATAAGAGCTTTCCAAGAGTTATGTTTTACAAAATATCAGTTTCATGTTACCGTGTCCGCACACTAGCCCACTATCAATATTTTGTACATACGTTTACGAACATGTTAAATTATCTTAATATTTTTGTTCCTTCACTTGCCCCCACTGAGAAAAGGCAAACGCGTATCAAAAGCCGAAATGAATAAATTTATGGTAGCAGTAAGAAAGGCGAATCCTGTGCGAATATGATTAATAACATTAGCTGACTGATAATATTCAGGTTTATCCATTCTACAATCTCGCATTAGACTTAAGCTAAGACTTAAGGCTCCGGATAAAACCTGTACTTGCAATGTGATTTAATTAATAGTTCGTCCAAGAAAGATAATTAGTAGGAATGAATTTAATATAGATATATTTTTACCTGTAAGATTATCGAAAGACTTATCATTATCAGCATTAGTTTATAAAACTGATGTTGGTCCCCAACTTGAAGTATATATTTCAATTGGGACGCATTGGCGGTGAGAAGGGCGATATCCAGCATACCTTGAGCGATTGTTTTCTTAGTCGCATATCGGTTAGCGTCCATGGCTTTCATCTGTAGAAAAAGAAAGTAAAAAAGGAGTGGATATGATGACTTGTAAATATTAGGTAAATTTTCAGTAATCTGATTTAATTTTGGGTGTATCATAACTCCGTTTACATTTGAGTCGGAAGCTACCGGAGTGACATTAACTGGTCGCCTTGGTATACAATAAAATTAAGGTCGACAATACAACCGAGAGTTTGTTCATCGGACATACTTCCCCTAGTTTAACCACCCACAAATTAGTTTTTCCCTATCTATTAGTACAGTAGAGGACAATGGCAAACCTCAACATGTGCATATGAGGCGTTTACAATATGAAATGTATTTAAATTAAAAAATCGATGTCAATCTTATAAATAAAGAAACATTATTTACGGCGTGTTACAAACGTGTTTTTTTATTTCTTTCTTTTTCTGTCTTTTTATATTCTTGCATCATGTTGATACAGAGCATAATACAATAGTTTTGTTCACCTAACGGTTGTTTGTATCACCTAAAACTAATCGAGTTAGATATAGGGTTACATACATATATATATATATATATACTAGGCGCCCTCCGCTGCGCTCCGGGACGTTCGCTTCGCTCGCTCGCCTACGTCCGCCCCCCGCCGAGCGCGAGCTAGCTCGCTCTTATGTTAGTTGATTCTCGACAGCAGCAGAAAACTTTTATATATAATAGATATATATATATATATAAAATTTAAATATCTTTATGAAACTTGGAACACATGTTTCTTGGTAATGTAACCTCCACAATAAGACTGTTTGGTAAACAGGATCACATTAGAGTAGGGCATCTATAGTTTAAATTTTTCTTAAAAAGTAGGCGTGGTTCCGCCCTTTAATAGGTTTAATGTGCATATCTCCTAAACCGCTGAAGCTATAATAACAAATTTCACTCAGAACAGTGTCGACAGTGTGACAATGGGTGATATTGGGTGACAACCCCACCCACTCCTCATATAACGGTACTGTTAAAAACATACTCCCAAAATATTTTTATATAATCACATCATTTTTTCTCCTTGGTCGGATAAAAATCATAGAACCGACCGACAAGTAAAGCACTGTTTCTCACCATCTGCAAGGCTGGAGGAGAATAAAGTACATATGTATAAAACTTTGGGTTTTATCGCAATAAACATAGTTATTCACATGGACTTTATTCCGTGTTAAATATTTTGCATAAGTGTACTAATAATAATAAATAATAACTACTAATTCTTCTCATACTGTAAATAATATATATGTATAAATATAACTAAATAAAATTTTTTACTTCTCTCTTACCTCCGATTCATTACTAAATGCATTGGCCATACTTGTTGCAATCTGCGCCATTTCGAATGATGGTTTTAGAGAATCGTATTTATAACTGTGTATTTAATAATACTTTAAATATGTAAAAGTTAAAAATTAGCGGTATTTTTCTGAAATAGCGCTTATTTTTCTGTGTACGTTGAAAACACTTTAACACCTGTTTTGTATTACAAAAAGTCACTGAATGAAATTTAGTAAATATTCAGTGCATATGTATATCGGTAAAAACCGTTTACGCGATGATATCTATAAATAATACAGGAATTTGTAATGTAAATACGAGTTAGTTTAGATTTTTAGATATGGCAGTTTTGCAACAAACGAGTCATATGCTAGTAACTATTATTGCAAGGTATGCACTTTAAATTTATTTTATTTAACTGATCATTTCATTCCATTCAATAACACAATATGTACTTACGGATACGCGAATCAACTTTTGCTGCTATAGTAACCAGCGGTCAACACTGTAGCGTTTTTTACATATACAACTTAACGATTATACAACTTATATTAGAGTGGATAACGCAATAGTCTAGCTTGTAAGAGACAACACCGTTTTGTCATGACCCTGTGTAAAATCACAATACGTAGCATAATATATAGAGAACAACGTAGTTTAAAGCCCAAATTATTGAAGCGTGAATCACCTTCTCTGTGCCCATTGATTACATTATACGATACATTACAGTTACTAACTGAATTTGTAAGTGGTAACATATTAACTTGACCCTGACATCTCTGCTATATGTGCACCTTGAATTACTGATTTTAAGAGACTTTTTTTTTCTTGCATAAATTCCCTTAAAAGGTTTAAGAAAATCTTTTTTTATAACAACTGGAAGCATGGTCTAACGACTGGTAGTCATAGACTCAACGACCTGCCAAACAGAAGTGATGACTATTAGAAAATGAGGATTAAAAGTAATATTCGTCGAATCGTTTAAACTTAATCAATTAATCTAAACATTGTGTATCTTTGATAAAATAAATAAACTGACGAATAAAATTTAAATATGTACTAACTCCTCATATACTTATTACAATAGCCAATTGAACCCAATTTGGTTGAGTATTATTAGAAAGGATTCCTACCATAGCATATTTTTGAGAAACGTTTCCCATTAGAATTAATTGTTTATACTGGTTTTATATTTGATTTACACGTTTTGTAAGCCCTTTGCGTAAGTGTAATACAATTAAGCGATGATTATAAATTATGTATCATTTTCAATGTATTATATTTAGAGTATTTTAAATATTTAATTTTCACAGAACTTGTGTAGATGGTTTTCCTTTTGTTCTTAACTCTGCAGTCATACGATACAATGATTTGCATTCAATTTTGAATTCAAAGCATTGACTTATGGTTATAAGTACACACACTATATTTAGTTAATTATTCAAAATGTCTTTCTATGTACGGCTCGCTGTCCTTCTTCTTCATACTCTCGTTTTGATATCCACATTTTCTTAAATGTATCTAGTGATGCTAAAATGGAGCCGCCCATCCATGTGGAATACAGACGTTCTTGAGGTGCCGCTATCTAAGTAATAAGGAAAAACGCACATCACATACTAGTGTAGTAGTAAAGCGTGTTAGAAAATATTTTCGAATTAACTCACTCTAATTTTTAGGTCCTTTGCCGAGTGTTTTCTTAATTCAGACAATAGACGATCACCAAAGCCCTTAAATAGTGTTGAGCCTCCCGATAGTACGATATTTTGATACAACATTTTTCTGAGATCCATATCCGACTTTTCAATAGCATACATGAGTACATCGTGAATGCCTTCACATTCTTCACCAAGTAAGTCTGGCCGAAACAGCACTTCAGGTGCCCTAAACCTTGCTTGACCAACCTGTATCAGGAGACAAAAAACATTGGCATAACATATTTTTCATTTCGATATCTTACCTCCAGAGTTTTGCCGTCAGGTAATATATAAGAAATTTTTTCAGTTTCTCCACTCTCCTCTTTTTGGGGATTAGTCGCCAAATAACAAAGTTTCTCCTTAATTGATCGCACAATTTCGAATTCTGCTGTAGTTCGAAAATTAAAACCTTCTTTTCTAATTAGAGTCTTTAGATAACGTGTAACATCTCGTCCAGCAATATCAACACGCATAATACTATGGGGCATCGCGAATCCTTCGTAAATAGGAACAGCGTGTGTAACACCATCACCAGAGTCAAGCACAACTCCCGTTACACGACCTGTAGCATAACTTCATACAAACCGAATCATAATACATTCAAACCTATTATAAAAAGTTACTTACAGACTGAGGACAGCTTGCATTGATACAAAAAGGGCGGGTACGTTTATTCCTTCAAAGAAAAATTCAGCAGCCTTTTCACGATTTTTCCTCGGGTTTAATGGTGCTTCCGTTAATAAAACGGGATGATCTTCAGGAAATGTAGTTAATTGTTCCTATTTTTTAATGCAGTGAGGGCATAAAATATTGCCAAATGGTTTTGTTTGAGGTGAGTGACCTTAGGTTGATATAAATGTGTATCAGTTTACCTTACTATAAATGTAATTCCAAATTCGTTCCATGTCGTTCCAATCTGTAACAATACCATGTTCCATTGGGTAACGTATACTAAGTAGGCCTCGATGCTCTTCCGCTTTGGGGCCAACGAAAATCTTTCCTTCAAGAGCTCCAGCCATGACCCGAACATGCTTAGGCCGTCCAATACTATGATGTAAACGAATTTATTTATTTATTCAATATTAGTAGCAATTATTCACTTACTAGTTTGGAAACCGACACTTTGGAATATGCTCCCCAGCAAAACCAGCTTTTATAACTCCAGAGCCCTGAGTAAAAAATGACAAAAATATATTATAAGTACACAAATTGAATTGAAATTTTCAAAATTCACATTATTTAATAACAATCAACATTTAGTAAAAAATATATATGTATTTATAAAATGAAAACTATTATCGCTCCTGAAGTTGATATGCTGATTGTTTCACGCAGTTCCAGAAATTCCAGAAAATCTATCTTGAATTTTGCACCTAAAATTGGGCTGACTATGGTGAACTATGCCAAATTAGATGACATTGAAAATTTCTACCTTGATTGCCAAAATTTTAGAGACTACTACCGTGATCCATATAATAAGGTTTCTAGACCGGAAGCATTTAAAAAACATTATGGAAAATGTGGACGAAGAGAAATTGATAAAAATACGGTTTTATTAAGTTTGCCGCCAACGTGGGTCCGTGAAAAACAACCCGTAGTATATCCCATAAAATATGGCCGGGAGTTACGACTTGACGAAGGTATTATATTAGGTGGACAATACGACGGCACATCTTGTATCAAATATAAACGCTGAAGAATTAATATATTAAATAAGCTCCGTATATAACATGTTTCATTTTTAAGTATAAGAAAGTTAATAATGGAAAAACAAATTATTATTTAGAAATATAAAAATATAATCGAAAATATTTGCGAGGGTTTAGTCATCACTTTGTCTCTATATGTATACCATCATTATGAAGCAGTTGAAGTTAAGATAACAAGAAGAGAGGGACGAGAACTGCGGCTTCATAATTTTGCATTACACGACGAGTGATGTCACTTAATACCCCACACCCAAGCTTTCTGCCAAATTTGTTAGTAAGAGAATTAATTTAAATCACACTTACATTGTCAATGACAACAGGCTGGTTGACCACTAAAGGTTCCATTTTATGCAATTATTTTTATATGATAATTATACTTGCTAATACCGACAACTTTTTGTAAATCTAACTTATATTTAAGTTTTCTGATTTTAGGCCGTATGATGACACGGCAAAAGCAACCAAGTTCATGTATTACTGTTGCCACATCAGTTTATTAAAATAGGATAGTCGTTTATCAATAGAGGTCTACCTCATTGACGCCTGTCACAGGTTCAACATTTATTGTGATATTTGGATCGTGATCCATATTGATGATTAATAAATCGCGAGTGAATGAACTTATTCGAAATAAATCGAGTTTTTGAAACAAATATGTTAAAAAATAATTTTGGTATATTAAATTGACCGACCGCCAGCATGGTTTCCGAAAAGTGCACAGCACCACCACAGTACTTAGCGCCATAAACGCCCAGATTTTGGCATATGCTCAAAAGTAAACGGCTATCTCTCCGACCTTTCTCGCTTTTTCTCTGCAAGGAGGATAACCCTAAGATATTAGGTGTTACATTCGGACGCAACAAACTTCAGAAATGCACTGACCGCCATTCACAGTGGAGCCATTATCACTTTCACCGACTCCCTCTCAGTGAATGGCGTACTTGGAGTCAAACCACCACCTATTGCAGACGAAAAGCTTGAGTTGCCACGAGAATCTAGAGTGACTTTTGTGCAACTTGGTTCTGGGTACTGTAGCAGATTAAACTCTTACTTATCCAGAATCGACTCCGACATACCAAACATATGTCCAGCATGGAACGAATCTCCGCATGACACTAACCACTTCTTTGCATTCCCAATGAATCCAACCCATCTAAAACCCTTCTCCCTCCGACCCCGTCGAAACCATCACGTTTCCTTAGCCTACCGTTAGATGACTTCGAAGACAACCAACCTTACCACTGATGCTAGGATTAGATAACCGCTAAAACAACAACGAATGGAAGTCTATTTCCACCGACAGATGCCAAAAACTTGTTGACTCAATGCCACGACATTGTGACAATATTTAAAAATAAAGGTCACGCAAGTAAATGCTAACTTCATAAAAATATTATATAACATTGTGTGTAATGATTCTACACTTCACCAGCTGGTAGTGAAAAATTAAGACTACAAAAATGCCACGAGAAAGTGGCAAGAAATAAATTAAAGATTCTTTATGTAAAAACTGCATTAAATGATTTCCAACCACAGAAACAAGAAAATATTTGTATCTTTGACTTTTCTTCAACTTAATTTATCTGAATATCCTGAAATTGATGAAATTTATTAATTTTAGACACTTGAACGTCAACAACAAAAAAAGTAAACAGATATAGCTGATAGAATATCACACTCAAAAAAATAAGACAAATGACACAATATGACACCTTGTGAATACCCTAAATGAGTCGTTTTTTGTGATGAGTTTTATATACTGTTAGGACTTTTATGATATAAAATAATTTTTTTTTTCATTAAGATGCTATCGGATATTTTTTTTAACAATTCCTCTTCTACGTTTGCACACTACTAAGAATTTGACCGCAGCTGTACATACAGTGTGTTAATAATTTATATTTATAACAAAAAGCAAAAATTAAAATGTTTACATAATTTTCTCAGCAGCAATAGATATATTTATATTTTATCATGATTTATATTCGAGTATTGCTTATATTGTTTGTGCTTCTATTCTATTTACAAATAATAATAATTACAGTTTTTTACATGATGACATACAATTTTTATAGACCAGTAGGCTCCATTTTATTGGGATTATCAATTATCAACTTTAATTTGTATTCGGGCCAATATAATTCCTGACGTTCTTTGCATTCCCAACTACTATCTATTTGCGAGTTATGGAAATCCTCCAACATTCGAGGAATTAGCTCATTAGGAATTAGCACTTGTATCCAATACCCTATAACGCCATATGGGGAAGATTTTTTTACAATTGCTCCGGTGACGGTTTCTGACACCAGTGTTAGAGCTAAATGTTGTGCTTTAAATGTAAAATGTCGTCCATGTCGAACACGATCTTTTATGGCTAGTATAAGATATTTTGCTGCATACGGAGCCAAAGTGATTTCAATTCCATCCAATGATATAGAGTCAGCCGAATATGGCTGATAACTAAGGGGACACGATTTATGCAATGAATTACTACTCACTGACATTGATTGTGGGAAATCCAAGCCATCACACTTTACTTCATTTTTTACCACGTTATTTTCATCGGTTACGCATTGCTCATTTAAACTTTCTGAGTTTATCTCTTTTTTTATAAATAGTTCTCCCCGAATTTCCCGAAAGGTAAATTCAGCATTAACTCCAGCCAAATCAGATCCTTGTTTTTCTAGGTCATCTTGCAAATTTAACAGCAATTCGGGACAAAGCTCAAATACACTAAGCGAACGATTCATGTTAGTAATCCACCATTTTCCACCTGTCTGCATGTCTTGTTGCAAATAATTCAGAACACCACGTCCATTCCAACGAGATGCTTGTTCAAGTTCTTCATCCGTAACACCAACTATCTGACAAAACTCGACTGTTCCAAACACCGTATGAATACTACTCAGTTGGGCATCTTGGGTTATAAGAATATTTTTTATACAAGAGGTAGTACTGCCATTTAAACTTTTGCGCCAAGGTATATTATCTCCGAAGTACAACATATTACCTGTTTGAAAGCAATAACGGGCTATTGCCTGTAATAAGTTTGCCGGCCATGTTGGAGGTTGTTTGAATTTTGCCAAAGTTTTCTCGTCCGATTCTGATTTAATAAGACGGAACGTTAATTCAAAACCCATTCCCGAGCGTTCATCATTAAGTTCCCTGGTGTGTACTCGACCATCTCCATGTAGATCACTTAAACCGAAACTTATATAATGCCAATGGGGTGGAACCCCATTTTCTGGATCTCCTTTATTGTCATACATGCTAATGTAGTCCAAAGGATCCTGTCCACCAAGCCAATATTTCAACACTGTTGTTACTTGTAAAGGATTTGGTTGATCTGGATAAACACTTTGACAATGGTCAATAAGAGCTTTTAGACCTGGAGGCGGTTGCATTCTTGTACTTTGAGTTAAAGTTGTAGGAGCATTGGCCATTATTAAAAACCAATAAATTAGAGCTTGTTTACAAATTTCACTAAACCTTCAAACTTGTAAACAAAATATATTAGCAAAAATTAGAGATGGAACAACTATTATATTACTGCAGTCGTTTCTAATTGTCGATTTTATTTTCTTTTTATGCATAGACCACGTATGGCTCGTGAAGCAATTATGTTACCGTCAAAGACTTTCATTTCGGTTGCGATTTCTGTTTAATTGCGAAATGTAATCATTCATGGTGCGCTTTTACTACTTGTTAAAATTTAAATCGCTGTAATATTTTATGTATAGAAAGAAATTTTGAATAGAGATAAGGATATGCGTTCAGCTCCTATTGAACAAGTTTTCCTTCTCACAAGATTACTTGATGTAGGACTACTCCAGCGATTACATATCGAAATTACTGCAGCAAATCGATAATGCTTAATGACAGTCACGTTTGACGGCTTCTTTAAGGTAAAACTGCATAAAATGTGTATGCGTGTCAATAATTTTGAACAAAATGGATTAGCTCTTTTTGTATTATATATATTTTATATCATTTAATGACAGTGTTTCATTTAGAAATATTAAAATCCTTTTTTTATTCATTTTCATTCCAGATTTTGATTTGAAACGTTTTTTTTGTTTGTTACTCCATTTTTTAAATTTAAAAAATAATTTCTAATAAAATTAAATTTTAAATCTCTAAATTAAATAAAAAGTTTAATTTTTAATCCCAAAGCCCGCACACTAGAGCATAGAAATAGAAAGCTTTAACTTGAACGCGTATTCTAATTTATCTACACTCAGATTATTTATTTCAAAATTCTTTACTTTAAATTTATATTCGTAAATTTCGTATATGTATGTTCATTATTTTGTAACTATTATGGTAAATTATAAAAACATAACAATTAATATTAACTATCTATGAACCATATTATATTTTTTTAACAGATAAAAAGTAATGATAAATACTATATATGTATTTAAATGTTTGCCATAGAAATAATTGTAAGAAAGAAAATTAAGTTTTTAAAAAAATATATATGTATACATAAAGGTTAATATTAAGAAAAAAACAAACTAAAATAGTTACTAAAAATTTGTAAAAATAGAAAATAGAACTACAATGCATAAGCATAATCAGAAATAAATTAAAAATTAAATTTTTTTCTTTTATAAAGAAAAAGGTGACGAGGTGCATCGGTTACGCACCAGGTTTCTGTAACCTATAGATAACCAAACAAACCATTTTCACTAACAGGTGGCTAAAGAAACAAATAACCAATGCAAAGCGCTCTGTTAACCAAAGAGTAACAGATAGTTTTCCAAATTAGTTGGCATATTAGAGCAGTAAAATATATGTAGCATTTACGATAAAGTAATGAAAGGGAGCGAGTAAGATAATCAAACTGACGTGTAGTAAAAAAGGAGAATTTATTACTTTTTTCTGCGGCTAGAAGGAACAAATGATTAGTTATTGGTAATCTATTGGTAATAGGCTAGCTTATTCACATAAAACTTATGCTTTGCTTTGCTTCGAAAAGTTCGATCTATGCTTTTGTGTGAGTTCGTTCTCATCGAAACGAAGCGCAGCAAAATGTTGAGCATCTCATCTTTTTACGCTTTGCCAAGTAACAGTCGCCATTTTTATTAAAGAGAAACATGGAAAGCAAAACGTTCGTTCTGACATAATATTTGTATCTTCGCCTCGTTGTTAGAGTATGAATTGTCAAGCAAAGCAAGGAAAGTTATATGTGAATTTGCCATTACGGGTTATGTCTTGTAGAGGGTTTATGGCACAAACAGTCACTGACGCAAAACCGTGGACCGAATCAGCTGATACGACCTATCTTATGAGAGCGCAATGTAAATGAACACTCACCACCGCTTCTACCGTCCGCTTCAACAGACCGTGCGATGGATATCCGGGAAAATTGGATTCTTTCCTTAGAAACGAATGAGCTGAGAGTGAGAGAGCAATCTCTTGCAACGCAGTTTGTAGTAATTAGATTGTAAGTGTAAGATTGCAATTGTAAGATACAAGACTCTTATTTTGTGTACAGGATCACATTAGGGAGGGGCATCTGAAGTAAAATTTTTTTTAAAGTGGGCGTGGTCCCGCCCCCAATAATTTTAATGTGCATATCTTCTATACCACTGAAGCTTAAATAACAAAAATTCACTGGAAACAAATGTTTTTAGCATTTCTATTGGTGTGAAAATGGGTGAAATCGGGTGACAACCCCGCCCACTCCCCATATAACGGTACTGTTAAAAACTACTAAAAGCGCGATAAATCAAGCACTAAACAAGTCACAGACATTCAATTTAATTAAAGAGAACAACTGTTTTTGCGTTGCAACTACGGGCATAACGGCGGTAAGTACGGCAGGGAGGAATGTCGGTGACTGTTTGCAGTATTACTATATAAGGGCTGCCGGATTAACAGCAGACATAGTTCTAGTAATGCATGCAACACAATGAGAACGTCAAGCGATAGGCAGCATCTGTCAAATATTAAAGTATACAAAATTCACTTTGTATAAAATATTTTAATTTCATTGAAGTGAAAGGTTTTAGTACAACAACAACGAAGTTATGTGCATCAGATGTTTGATATGTCGTTGCCGTTTTTAAAATGTCCATAAAGCTGGCTTCGAGATGACATTTGCAGACAAGAAAATTTCGCACAATTAAAATAGTAGAAGTCACGTATATCAACGCAGGAATTGAAAGTTCGTCTCCGGGAGTTACAATTTGGTCGGACCTTACGTGACCAGCATCTGCCAAGGTAAAACCATCATCCACTGCCGGCACAATTCCGTTCCCTGGTTTTAAGTTTAAATTAAAAAAAACGAATACTGCATTATTCGTTGCTCTAAAAGAATCTGCAGCAGAGATATGCGAATCGAGTAGTAATAGAAGGTTGAATGATAATTACCCATTACCTAGAATCGACGACACCTTGAACTCGTTATCAGGCACAAAGTGGTTCTCATTGATTAAAAAAGTGGTTATTCTCAATTGAGGTAAACGAAGAAGACAGAGAAAGACGGGATCAGCGTTGGAGATTGTCTATATCAATTTACCGTAATACTTTTTAGATAATGTAGCGCTCCTGCCACCTTTAAGAGACTTATGGATCAGTTATTAAAAGGATTGCACTGCAAGACCTGTTTGTTGTTAGAATTTCCTTGGACTGTTTGCCTACTATCCACGATTGTTTCCAAATCTTGGCAGCGTAGCCACTTTGAACTGACGAAAAAGAACAAAGCCTTTGAGTGAAATAAAAAACAGAAAGTGGCTTTCCAAACTGTGAAGAAACGGTTAAGTACTGTGCTAATGTTGGAATATCCGGTAGCAGGTTCAACGTTTATTTAGGATACGAATGCTAGTGGGTGTGCAAAAGAAGGCGTTCTGTCACAAGTCATTGACGGTCATGTTGAAGTGGGTGAAGTGCATCAAACTGGCATGGTGGATTGTGAGACTCCAAAGTTACAACTTCTCCATTGAGCATCGCATAGGTAGTTGTCATTGAAATGCGGATGCAACGTCCTCCCATCCCTGTAATTTATAATGCAGACATTGCTCAAAAGCTTAGACCTAAGAAGACATTTAGACGTCCGATTAAAGACAATAACATCAACAGTAGACTGGGATCCGACGGAACTACGAAAATGTCACCAAGAAGATCTAGATTTGAAACGTGTAATGCATGAAGTGGAGATGTACAAACTTTTGCCGAATTTGGTGAAAAAGGACCATAGCTAGATAACTTTTCAAATAGCCCCTTTGTTGCCTTATTTGTCACCCTGTGACACAGCTGATTACTTTTTTAATAAAAAAAAAATTATCGAAAACTAATTTATAATAAAATAACTATATATGTATATAGTATATAAGCTAATACTTGTATATTGTCACTATAATAATTCAATCATCATTATACATTATTCAATTTTTTGAGTAATAATATAATATATTCGTATTACTTAAATCTTGCTAATTCTGAGAATTAGAAACTGAAGCGACCACGCAAGCTCAATTAAAAATGCGCACTAAAGTAGAAACTGCCAAAGGGATTCGACCTTTAAGGTATTTACATCCGCCAATAAATTATTGCGTTGTTTCAGATATAGATGTAAATAATTTTTCTTGTATTGAAGTTCAATTGAATTTGAGGCCTCAATTGGTCAATGCCACTATATATGCATATACGGTTTTTTAAATTTAATAGCGTATAATGCCTAATTATTCGTATAATCGAAGAGATTAAGTTTATTAAGTTACTACTTCCGATATTAATTCCAACGTAAAAAATTTGATTGATAATTGCAGAAAATCCGTTTTATTTAAAAAACACATAAGGTGTAATAATTTAGTAACTAAATAACCTAGGGCAACAAAACTATGTCAAAACATTTCGAAAGGGCACTTGCTTTTTATTAAATAAAAAACTGATCACATTTAAGAGAAAATTAGCGTAACTTATACTTACAACTCAAGTATGCTACGGATAAAATTTATAGGATCAATAAAATTTGATCACATAATGAAAAATATTGAGATCGTATATATTTTGATATTAATAATATTGCGCAATCATTTCCTTCTACATAATATCTACAAAAATATTTCGCCCCATATCAGCTAAAGTTCCGTTCAACATGGCAACACTGTGATTGAGGTGCTGTAAATGTGTTGCTGAGCATTTTGTAAATAATTGAAATTTTACTCGTTGGCAGGTATTTATTTAAATGTGTGAATATGTATGTAAAGTGCAGACCTTCAAGAGAAACATGGGTTCTCACCAAAAAGCTCATCGAATTTTTAATTTGCGAAAGCTTTTGTTTGTGCTCCCTGGTAAACGCATGTCATCTTTTGTTTATGTTTACTTATCATTGACGACATCGTTGCCAAGACGATGCGGTTAAGTATCAGTATATTTAAAAGCGGATGTTGATACAAGTGTATGAATTCCTGCCAAGTGTAGAAATTCAGATTGAGTATTTTTGCCTCTCTCAAAACTCAAAATGCACGTTGTAATTTTACAAATTGCTTTCATTTAGCATTCTTTATTTGACTGCAGCGGTGTTGAGTTGTCGCTTGCTGTAATAATTCGTGTGTGAGTTAAACAATTTTTTGTCGAATAAATTAAAACTACCGTAGTGTGAGATACACATAAGTGCAACGAAGAATATGCATTCTAGATTGCAAACCAACTGTGCATTATAGAACATAGTTTCTTATTATACATAAATATATTAGCTGGAAAATCAATTGATTATTTGGCATTAGTTCTTATTGGACAACAACACGTGCCAATTTATTATTTGCGTGATATTATTCATATTGCCGGTAAATAATGTCTAAAATCATACCATATATAGATATTACTTTCAGTTTCCTCCTTAAAAATTTGTAAAGTCAGTTGTTATCGCACCGCATAAGCATTAGTTTTGTATAATTAACATATGTATGTACGTTGCTGTATCCTGTAGCTAAATTCGTTACGGTAAAGTAAAAAACCTAAAGAATTTGATCAAAAATTAATAGATAATATAAAAGTTACAAATATAATTTAGTTATACTTTAATAGTTGAGAAAAAATTGAGATGAAATAAAACCGGACACTAACCGAATTTAACCTTATTAACCTACATACTTAAGCATCTAAATTATATTAGATGTTTATCAAAAACAAAAAAAAAAAATTGTGCAGAGAGATGTTTTGTTGTTGAGGGACTCCAAGAGTAACTATATGAGAATCTTATGTATTTTTCGCAATTTTATGAAAAATTAGCAGTAAACCGATTATGTTGTTAACGATTGCAAAAAATGAAAATATCTCATTTTTGAGCAACCCAAAAAAGATAGTACACTTACGTTGGCAATACTTTAAATGATGTTATCAAGTAGGTGCCGTTATTGTAATCTGATATTATTTTCGTATGGTCAAAATGTATTGTTTGATAAACGTTTTCGTTTCTTTGGGTGAAGTTATGGAAGAAATAATTGTGATTAAAAAAACATCTAATGATTTACAGGCTTTGGTAGTCAAATATTGGCAAAAGAACAAAAGTACTCGCATAATAGACAATATTTTCAAAAAAACACATACTATTGTTCAGTACAATATTGCTAAATTCAAACACTGGTGGAGTTGGAAGATTTGACGGTAGTGGAACGCACACAAAAACGTTAAGTTGCTCGGAGTATCAAGGGACACCCTAAAATAACCATTGCAAAAGTCTATCCTCAAACTGTTCAGAACTTCTTGCTTTCATCCGATTTTAGAGCGTATACACCAAGAAATAAGGCACAATTTTCGAAAAAAAAATTGCGAAACTTTTACTATATTTCAAAGAGTATTTAAATCCACCGTGATAACGAAGAAATTGTTGTTTTCATCGAACAAATTATATTAAGAATGAACTAAAACTAAAATATATTTGAATGGCGGCTACTGCTTTATTCAGGATAACGGCCTGAAGCATTCTGCTTTGGTGGTTAAGGAATGCTTATTGGTCAATGGGAAAAAAGTGCTATCACATTCTCCCCAGAGTCCAGACCTCAATCGCATTAAATACCTGTGTGGAGACGAGGTTACGAAAGCGCTAAGTTAATAGCTAAAATGAGGTTAAGGCTGCTCTTCAGAAAATACGGAGTTATTTTCAATTTTTTAAAATTTTTTTTGGAGAAAACTGTCGAAATGTCAAAATAAATCAATGAAAAAAGAAGAAGAAATATGGAAAGAAGAAAAAACGTTACCTCGGCTGCACCGAATCTTTAATACCCTTGACAATTTAATTTTGTATAGCATAAAGAAGTATAAAAATGTCTTTATCTTGATTTTGATCAGTCAGTTTGCAGGACAGCTTTATGTTATATTGGTCCGATCTCAACAATTTTTTGGAGATTGCATAATTGTCTTAGATTATAATCCATGCCGAATTTCTTGAACATATCTCGTCAAATGTTAAAGCTTTCCATGCAAGGCTTGATTCCTATCGTTTCGTTTATATGGGAGCTATATGCTATAGTGGATCGGAATCGGCGGATGCGACAAATGAGCAGCGACTTGGTGTCAAAAGGACGTGTGCAAAATTTTTGCTCGATATCTCAAAAACTGAAAGGGTAGTTTGCATACATATATACAGACAGACATGATTAACTATATACATATATATATATGGTACTTTGACGTTCCCTTTTGGGTGTTACAAACTTCGTGGCAAACTTAATATAACTTTTTCAGGGTATAAAAACATTATCTTAAATTCATTGATACATGAGGTATTGATTACCGTCCGCAGTTATGCATTCTGTGCCGTGCCTAAAAGTGGTGGTTCTTCTTTTTTAATACTTCTGTACATAATGAAGAACAAGAAGATATGTATCAGGCAATGCGATAATGAAGTCAATTATATTATTAGTATATTCTCTTTTATATTTCACTTGAAAACATAGGTGGTCAGTATAAAATATAATATCTATTGTTATAACAATATGTTATTTATGTCTTGGTGTTAGGCCAAACATTATTCCATTTTATTTTTGATAGAGGTTATATTTTTTAAATATTAACATACTCACCATATGTTGTTTATATTAAAATAAGATGTTACAAAGCTGTTTCCTAAAGTTTTCCTATATTATACCGGCTGACCACCATCGTAAAGTAGTAAATAATTAGGTTTTGGTAAATTCAAGGTTTAGGATTTCATTATTATTGCCGTTTAACATATTTATTAAAATCATATACGAATCGCAGATTTTTTCATAATATTCTTACACTCATACTTTCATAATAATTTATATACGCATAGGATTTAGATATTAATACTTCTTTTATCATCATAGGGACTGGACAATCGATTTACAAATTATGGGCGAGAGTCAACCTCTTAGCGAATCAAACGTTTCCAAAGGACTTGTAGTTATCACTTCTAATGGAATCTCTATTGATAATGACGTACATATATCTAGAGTAGCTACAAAACCAGCGCTGCCCGCGGAACACATTGAGGCACCCTGTTGTCGAGACATTCACGGAAATGAACCCCCGGATGGCGGTATGCGAGCGTGGCTAGTTATGATTAGTGCTTTTATATGCAATGGTGTCATATTTGGAATAATAAATACGTATGGGATCTTATATGCTTTGTTGACGGATCGACTTACCCAGGCGGGCGACAATGAAGCTTCGAGCAAGGCTGGTATGTTTTTAAATTCTTATTGTAGACACTAATAATAAGTAATTGATATTAATTTGCACCCCATTTAAAATTATAGCATTGCTTAGAATCTTTCATTCAATAATTAAGCAAAATAGCCGAAATTAAATTTGATTTAAAGCAGAACTAAATATATTATAATCTAAAAATGAACAAAGGGAAACACATTTGTACATACTATTCTTCTGTAAATGTGTATGTGCTCTTTCTATATTTTCGATTAATTAATTAGTTATCACTCTCTTTTGTAATAGTAATAGTGGTAATATTAAAGCCATACTCGGTAAATTTTTTAAAGTTACTCTGAAGTTGAATACGACCACATTTTTTGTTTAATTTTATTTTAAATTTGACAATCAGTCAATGACATTGGCTTCAACAAATAATATTTGCAGTATTGGTATTCTAAATGAAATGCAAAATCTATGTACTTATGTGTGTCCACATTTGTAACAACTTAAGATGACGGTAAGTTTGACATAATGTCAATGAAGTCGTAACTAGGTCAGCAGTTAATAACGCTCTAGGTAGCTGCCGATTACCAAACAGTGAAACCTTACAAATGAGTACCTCGCTCTGAAACTTCACATTTAGCTCAGAAATTTTGCATTTGCAGTGCGATTGCTTTAAATCTTATCAGCTCATATGTTTATCTTAAAATCTACATAATTTTGGCTTAAAATGTAATTGTAATAATATTATTGGGTATAATTATACTTGTAGGAAATACTTGATAGTCTTTATATTCTAAGTAGATGGATGTTGGAAAATGATAACATTTCTTAGCTACCAACCATCAAGTCTAAATTGATAAAAATTGTAATCGAAATATTTTACCACAAAAGCTGAATAGTTCGTATCCTTTCATTAGGAATTTAACATACATACAAAAATGAAATCCTTCAAGAGATATAGTATTTTGAGTAGCGCAAGTATTTTTATTTTGAAATTCCTAAATACATTATTGCTTTTTTTGGTAAGAAATAAAAATCGAAAAAAACGCGTTAAAAAGGAGATGAAAAACGCAAGAAATTTCGAGTTTAGGCGTAGAAAAAAAAACTTAATATATTAATCACTATAAGTGAATTCGTTATAAGGAGAAACATACTGAAAAATGAAATGATAATCTTCTATAAATTAATTCATTATGAATCAAACTTTTTTGTACAGAAGTTCGTAACAGAGAAACAGAGTAACATATTGTATATCAAGTTATACTCCAAATATCGTAGATTTCGACGTACATAGCTCAAACCGATAAACATATATACATATGTACTAGATCTGTCTAAATTTATTATTTTTATTACTAGCAATCACTAAGTGAGTAAATTTTTATGTTCAAGAGTAAATTTTGTTAATCGCAAAATATCGATTCTCTAGTTAAACCTTTGAATTAGTGTACCAGGTGCGTCTGCACTCTGCGTACAACATCACGCACTTCATTGAAGCGTTCTTCGAACTGACGGGTTTACTTTTTCAGCAATTAAATGGGAACATACCAATTACCAACTACGATAATTTCCTCAAATTGCATTAATTGCTTATATAGCCAAAGAATGGTCAAGCGCACACATACAACGGCGCACAGTTCGAGTACTTGAAGTCGCAAGTATTGCAAGTTAAACGACATTGAAAACTGCTACACATGTGAGTAGCGGAAGTGTTTGTCATTCCATTTAATCACACGCATATAAAAGAAAACTTTACATATTCAGTCCACATTCAATTAGGTACCAAATGCCGAGAACTGTCATTGATATACTGCTCAATGCTCTGCTAAAAAAATTAATGTTCTTTTCATGAGAAATGCTTTCGTAGACATTATTGACCATGAATATTTGCATATTCATATATACATACATACCAACATTTGGAATTTTTGAGCACAGCGTCTCTAGTCATATTCATGGTTCAAAGGCACGTAAAAACGAAGCAGATGACGATGAGATATTCAATAATATAGTATTAATTAAGTATGGGAGTTAAGTTGTTATCAACACAATCGACCTCTCTTCTTTAAATAGCAGGGAGACTTTTTATGTGTCTGCCATTATAATTTCGCTAATTTAAACAAAACGGAATATGTTTTCAAAATTTTGGTACTTAATTTCCCAGTGGGGTTGACTAAAGTATTAAAAAATTTCAACTGCTACCAAGCAGTTGTAGTTGGTTTATTTAGGTAAAGTATTAATAGAAAACGAAATTGGGTAAAAAAAAAACTATTTTATTTAGAATTTTAAACTGTTTTAATCAGTTATTTTGTACAAATACATAGAGAGGTAAACATTCGTTGAGCTGGTCTTCACAATTCTTATTCCTAAAATCCCGAAACTGGATGAGGCAAGCTACAATTTAACATAGAAAAAATAAAATTAAGGGACCATGGGAAATGTTTCGAACATTAAGAATCAATACAATCTACTACTTCGAGAGACGATATTTTTTGAGTCAAATAACATTTTTGAAGCGTTTTGCTCCTCTTCAGTCATATGTGTTTTGTCCACTGCGCCCAAATATGAACTTCATAATATTTATAAAAGGGTTTTTAACAACCATATCGTAGATTGCTTCAGTCCAAAGTTAAACACATTTAAAATGCATGCGGTAGTTATCAACCTGCAGCAAGGAAACGGAAAGTTTGTGGTAATGTTTCTTTATCTCATTTATTAAAAAAATGATTCCTCATTCGAACAAAAATAACTTATGAATCTACCACAAACCTTATTTAAAAGCCATTTATTTGTCAATAAAACTTAGGAATTTCCAATGAATTTGAGTGATAACGAAAGCATTTTTTTAAGCGCAGGACACCACTTTTGGTTCCAACATTTTTAAATAATTTTTCAATAAATTTCTTTGATTTTTCGTTTAAAAATTTTCATCTGACAGCAGATTATCTGTCAAATCTTCATTTTTTAAGTTGGCAACACCCATGAAACTTGGACTGGAAATAATTGAAGTTCGTTATACCAAAAAAGATTTTGGTTGATCTGAAGTTGAATTGCTGCATCTTCAATTCAACTGAAACCCGTAATAGGGGTTGAAAAAAAATTTGAACGCGACAGCATGAGTCACCTTTTTGTTCTTTTAAAGTCGATTCTTCAGTATGGTAAACTGTATAAACATAAAGTGTATAGTCTATATGTTAGTTTAGTTTATGATATTTCAAACAACTTTTAGTTGAAAACAAAAACATTAAAATATTTTTCTAGAGTATAGCAAGGGAGGGAGAATATTTTATACTCTCGCAATTTGCAAGGATAAAAGTTGGAGAAATACTTTTAGGTGTTGCATAATTTTATATTAAACAAGTAAGGAAGGGTTAAGTGTAACCGAACATTTTATATTGTTCTATATAATTTTCAGAGATTAAAGCAAAACTTTATATTAAAAAAAATTACGTAAGAATCAAACATGTATTATTCGAAAAAACCGAATGAATTACAATAAAATTGGATACCATATTTACTTTTGTATATTATAGGTCACTTTGTGTCCGAAGTGTTTATATTAAAATCAGCCTAATTAACTTAAATGAGATACATATATGGAATATAAAGTCAACCAAAGGCGTAGGTCAGAGAAACGTCGACCGTAGAATAGAAAATCATACAATCATGCAAGTTCTAGACCGAATTCATTCATTTAATGGTGGCGAAATGTTTCCAATAGGTTTAAAGAAGGAAGGATTATTTTTTTTAGAACATCTTTGCAGCGACTTTAATGAAAGTCGATAAAGCATAGGAATCTATAATTTTGAATATCTTTGTAGTTTTGAACCAGAAAAGGTTAATATCAAAGATCTGCAGGGAGTATGATTAACAACAGTCACCGACATTCCTCCCTTCCGTACTTACCGCCCGTATCAAATCAAATTTGTCAAAAGTTATGCCCGTAGTTGCAACGCAGAAATCAGTTGTTCTCTTTTGTTTTCATTTCACCAATGTTGCCATTGTTCTATTTGTATACACGATTTCTCACACATTTAGTTTTTTAGTTATATTTTCATAATGTAAAAGCTCAAAACTAAAATCCAACTATTTAAAATATTTTACCTATTTATAAATAAATGTATTCGAGTGAGATTTTGAGTTATTTTAAAAATATTTCAAATATATTCAAGTTTATTTTTGAACTAATACAAGATATCGAGACTGGTAACCTTGCGTTTCAAGAGATTGCTCTCTCACTCTCAGCTCACTCGTTTCTACGGGAAAAATCTAATTTTCGCGGATATCCTAATTTTGTAAAAAAACGCAACATCTATAAGATTTGGATATAATTTAGTAATCCTAATCACTTTACCGTCTGCTGTTTAAACTTAGAAAACCGTCTGATTTAGAATATGCTTTGATAAATTTATTTTAAAAGTAGCGACCACCCTAAAGTCTTGTATATAGTCATGCACACGAAATTAAACGGGTATATATCTCCTGAGGTTATTTAACATGCAGATATTACGCCAGATTTATCTATTGCACAATCTTTAAGAACTAAGAACAATGACACTGGTGCTGGCAATGACAATGGCAATGATAATGACGATTTTTGGTGGCATTCGTTGGCTGATAAGTGGGTCAACGAAAAGCATCAGTTCTGAGTGTGTAAAATTATCAGCCATTTTCTTAGCTCGCATTATTTTTATTAAGTGTTAAAGGCGAATACAGACGTATCTATATATGTATGTATATGTATGTATGGATGCTTAAATATTTCAATAGTTAGTAGAACTATTTATATTCATTATCTATTTATACAAACACTTTTATGTACACATAGTGTAGTGTATTTAATGTGACTTAGTGATTTTCTCTGTGTGTTTATGTACATATCGCCTGAAACATCGAAGGTACATTTCCAATTGCATACACTGTAGTATAACAAAATATGTGTTTCAGAATTATATAAAAATACGCTCAAGGGTTCTTTTAATTTAATAATTAAATGTTAATAATAATTAAAATAAATAAAATAAAATT